GACTGCGGCTGAAGGTTTATACGACCTACAGCACTATTTTCAATATTGTGTAGCGACCAAGGCCATAGCTGATTGGCCAATCCGATTTCGGCCCCCAGGTACACTTCACGTGTTTCCTCGCATTTCTCGCATCGTCCATGGGCCGCCAATGGGATTGTTGTGGCGTTGTACACTTCATTCTCGTGGCGTGCCGTAATAAGGCCTATTGGCGAAGTTCCTGGAACAACGACATGTCGCCAAGCATGATATTGCACAACCGCAGCAGTGGAGATGAAGAGCTGACATATGCGATCACGGAAGGCTGCCAGGCAGGCTGTCAGGTAGGCTATGTTTACTGCTCTTTTGGCGGCATGGTGGTATAAAGTCTGGGGTTGCTGAAGGCTGAGAGGGCTATTCTGTTGTTTCACCAGCGGACCTCAACAGCCATCTCACTCATCATCATCATTTCTTGTTTCCATAAAGAGTCGGTTTTTTATTAGCAATCATGCTCGTTCATTCGCTAGTGCTGTTGAGCGCTTTGTCGTACTCCGTATTCGCTGGCAAAGCGGGACCTCTCAAGGAAGCGCCTGGCGTTTCTCCTCGTCAGCTTCAAGAGTGCAACTCACCTGGATGGATTCCAGTATGCCCTGGTGAGTACCCTTTCCAATTGAGCCATACCCCAGACTAATACTATCAGGCGATCTCCCATGTATCCCACCTACTGGTACATGCTGCACAGGCGACTACTATCATCTACCCGGCGAGACCTGCCCTGATGGATACTCTGAAGTCCCTCGCATTGACCAAAGTGATCCACCTTCTGCTTCCATTACACCAGCACCATCCGCAACCTCAATCCCAGATCCTGTTGTTGTCGACTACTCGTGGTACACCTACTCGTTGACATACTACTATACCTATTACTACTACTATTACTTCGAGGCTTCCTACGAGATCACATCCACGGAAACGACGTACTACACCACCTTCTCGCTGACAGCGTCGGATGTGGGCGCCGCCAACTCTGCGGCCGAATCTATCAGTGCTTCGATTAGCGTTGCTCTAGAAACACAGTCAGAGACGCCTACGGTTGAGGCAACACCACTACCGAGTTCGACTTTGGCCCCTGCATCGACATCTAGGGTTGCCTCGTCGTCATCAAGGGCGACCACATCTTCAGAAGATGCGACATCTTCGAAGGTTGCTACATCAACTATCATTAGTGCATCGCCTAGTACCTCCACTCCAGCAGAATTTTCCGGCGCTGCTGTCAGCCTTCGCGTTGGAAGTGCCTCAGGCTTTGGAGAAATGTTCTTATTTGCGATCGGGGCTCTTGGACTAGCTCCCGGCATGTTGATGCTTCTTCTTTGAGCATGGTACCACGAGGGAGCTGTGGCGTGAAATAATGGGTCTTTGTTATGCGGAAGTTCAGAACGCACAGCGACTGTGGTTTTGAGATGCGTCATTTTGCCTCCTTGCTTGATGCGATCTTTCTGGCGCGTGTAATGTAGGAAGAGGTTTTCAAGTCAAGTCTGAAGCTTAAACAAATGGTCAATTCATTGATATAACGTTTCCATGATCCTACAAGTCAAAGTCGTTATACTGTGTAGTGTGTCACATGTTGTTTTCTACCGTGTACCATTCAAATGCCTTGTAGTCATCCAACGCCTGCTGGGTGGGAGGGTGTCAGTAGGCATTTGCTCAAATTCTATCGTTGTCTCCGTTGTCCTCGTGATACCATCGTCCTTGATGTTTGAATCTTCGCTCGTTCCATTCATTCCTCTTCCGCATGAGGTTTTCCGTTCTATCACCGGCCTACACCTCTCCATCGAGAGAAGCGAAATTTGACCGCTAGACTCAATCAGATTGCGATCACTTCGGCCATTAACGGTGGATCCACTGCTAACTGTACGTCGATAGCCGCTACCATACGCTTCCGGCTGACTAAAGTCAAGAGATGTGTTGCGGAGAAGTGGCCGTAAGGCTGGAACCGAGGCGGATATGATAGCGACGTTTACTTCGATCTGTGATAGAAGAAGAATCTGAGTTACGGTCAGCATCTCGACGAGCAGGGCCACATTGGAAGCTACTCACAAATATGGAATCGTACGATATATCTCTGGTGACATTGTACAGCCATAGTGCATAAACCCTTACTATTGACGCAACGACGGCGATGCCTCCAACCCCGAAGACGCCAAAGAGCGCAAATCGCCGCTTCGAATCTAGCTGTAGCTTCCAAAAGGGTTTAAAGGGTAGTAGAAAGATTGTGATATCAGTAAGGATATTGATGCCTCCAAGTGCCAAGTAGGTAGCTCGCAAATTGTTGCATCCCTTTGGGAACGTAGGTGACCATGCTTGTGATGGCTTGGGTCTACACTCGAAAGCCTGTAGGAGTTAGTGTCATCTTTAGTTGGAGCAGAGTAACGAGGAGCTCACACTGACGAAGAGAACCACGATTGTGTAGATCGTGACAAATGCAGCTACAGACCAGACTTTGTACCGGAACTGTAGCCGCTCAAAGATACGATGGTACAAAGCCAATATACTAGCCTTGACAAAGAACAGTGCCACAGGATATACCAATTGGTAGAAATAGAAATGCTTGAGTGTGGGAATCCGCATAGAAGGCACGTCCAAGTACTTCAAATGTTGTCTGTCGCAGTCAGAGACGCACATACGCTTGCAACCATGGAACCATACCCAGTGCCCCAGCTGATATGAAACCCATTCATAATCGCCATGCCAATCGTGACAAGAAGGGCTGCAATCATGAAGTAGTCGTCGAGTCCAACATTGCGGATGCGAAAGATGCGACAGTAAAGCCTGCGCAGGTGTTAGCAAACAGTGTCTTACTACCCAAGGATGTCGCCAATGCTGCAGGTACTCGCCTCAGAGCTACGGCGATTGTTGATAGCAGGACTAGAACTCCAGTCGTAATCAGGAACATCGGCTGCCTAGATTCATGATCTGCACTAAGATTCGGCCCGATCATACCTGGGCAACGGCCTACATACAGTAGGGCAGGAATGGCCGTTGTAATGCAAGGCAGATGGCATGTACCTGAGTATATTCGAGAGCTAAAACGTGCTCCGTCGGACACATAGACGGGATCCTTCACTATACATATGTATGTCAAAGTCCGATGCAAGCATCACTAGATGGCTTGTGGCCGACTAGAAACGGTGATGCTCCAGTACTGTTGCGTCAGGGCGGCCATCCACCAAAACTGATGATTTAGCCACCGGGGAAACAGTGAGAAGAACTCGATTCATGTCCGTGTGTCGGAGTTCAGGCGCGCAACGCTGAAAGAAGAGAGAGCGGCGTCCTTGCATCCTTCGCGTGGTCGGAAGATCACGCTGCGTGATGTCCGTCCTGACACGATTCAAGAAACAGTACCGAGAAACCCTGGCAATACGCTGCGGCTGCGCAATCTCACCATCCCTGTAAGCGCATCTACGCCCGACACTCCGTGACGATCTACCACACACAACCTCTGTGACTACGGAGGTGGCAAGCCACGTTCGAATGAGCCTCCGAATGTCTCCCGGGCATTGCGGGCCACTCGCCCCGTACGCCGGGGTCCTCCAGACGGGCAAGGCCAGTAGCAGGACTCTGGCGCAGGCTACAAGTACCCGTAGATGGCATGCATCGCATGGGATTCTCCTGCTGTATGTAAACCCAGGTAGCTAGCCAAGGCAAATATGTCAGCAACAATATACATGTACCCAAGCAACGGGCTACGAGATTACGCCTGGTAAAGCCAAGGCTGCGCATTGTAAGATCAAAGTTAGCAGAACGGTTCAGATATTGCGCCTGCGTGTCTTCCAGATACAGAGTACACCGATGTTATGGGTTCCTAGGTTCAGTCTCGCCTGCATCAGGTATGGATCATCGGCAGTTGTCCCTGCCATACTCAACAATGTCTCCCATGCAACCGCGGGAGAAAGGTCCAAAAAGACTTTAGGCGATCTAATTGCGCACTTCCAGATCGGCTGTCGGCAGCCAGATCGCGGAGCCTTTGTATAAGATAGATGGGTGTTGTTAATCATCAACCTTCATCAACTATTCAGGTGCCTACTTCGCTGTAGGTGTACGAGAGAGCTCTTCGGTACCTAGGCACTGCAGATCCTGCAGAACGTTTCTGTTCTCGAAGGCATCGCACGTGTGACAGTTCCTCCCGTCATTTACGTTTCAGCATTGAATCTTCGGCTCAATCGTCATGCGTCTTCTCGAACTCCTCCCTGTCGGGTTAAGCTTGGCACAATGGTCTGCAGCTGCAGCGTTACCCGCAACTACTGGTCTGGGTTCATGCAAAAGTCCACCCAAGAGGGTGGAATGGTAAGACCATCAAAAGCTGTACGATACCCGATGTATGACTGATGCTTCATGTATAGGAGACAATTGTCAGAACCACAGAAGAAATCCTACATCGATGCCGTTCTGTGTTTGTCACATACAAAGGCCAAATCCGGCATTGAAGGAGCCGTAAACCGATTCGATGATCATCAAGCTGTTCACATGCTGCAGAAGCCTCAGATCCATTGGGTTGTACGTCAAACCCCTCTGGCCCAGCTTCGATCTTGCGCGCTCATACTTTCAGGGTCACTTCCTTCTATGGCACCGGTACTTCACGGCAACCTACGAAAAGGCACTGAGGGATGAATGCGGATATACTGGAGGCCAACCGTAAGTTGCTACCCATTTCAAACGTATCCTCATGACATCAATAGCTTTCAATCTGACCAATGTGCAGATACTGGGATTGGTCTCTAGATGCCGAACCGCATAACGAATCATCCACCCGTCCGTTTGATTCAGAAATCTTCAATCCAGACACAGGTTTTGGTGGCAACGGCTATCCCGTCGCAGCTACTCCTGCCCAAAATCCCTTGAACATAACAGGCAACACCGGTGGAGGATGTGTAATGAACGGGCCATTCGCGCCTCCCCACTTCACAGTGAACGTGCCCACTCCACACTGCTTGAAACGAGACTTTGTTCCGTGGATCGTCAATCGAATGGCAGACAAACGACTGGTCGACGAAGTCCTGGCACAACCGGATTACACGAGTATTGCAAGGACAGTTGAGAAGCAGCGAAGCTTTGATCCTCCCAACATTCATGCCAGTGGCCACTTTGGTATCGGTGGCATTCTGGGTACCATGGGAAACGCGGCGGAGAGCCCTGGTGGTGAGTGCCTGGTTCTCATTCTTTCTGACAATACCCATCTGCCACATAGACATACCACTAGGAAAAATGCTGACACATGGCAGACCCACTCTTCTACCTCCATCATGGCAACATTGACCGCATCTTTTGGGAATGGCAACAGAAAGATCTCGAGACGCGTCTCAATCAAGTCGGTGGGCCTATTACGCCTTTTGATTACAGCGGCAAGAACGTTACTTTGGACTTTACCATTAATATTGGCTTGTTAGCAGGGAATGCCACGCTCAAGGACCTGTTAAATACAGAAGGAGGGACGCTCTGCTACACGTATTAGATAGGCTCAATCCAGTTCTTCCGCACGGGTTGCTTCGCTTTCCAGTAGTGTTGAACTGGTGCACTCGCCTTGCAGGACGCTTTAATCCCTGTCATGCATGCATTGGGGTCTGGAGGAAGGGCTTCCCGGTCCAGTCACGTCGCAGGACCAGCTGGGAATGGCAGCATCGATGATTCAGACGGGCTTTCATTTCGTTGGGCGACATATCTGACTGAACACGCATTCGATGATCCAGAATTGGCTATGATGGAATCGAAGCACAACTGACGAAGCAACAAGTTCGCATGTCCGTACGCTGTCCTCGGTGCGGGCACCCACTGACAGTAGGCAGACTAGCTCAGTTGTGTTTCTGACCTGTGAATTGGCATGTTGTCTTCTGCTGAGCATCCATCGCTGTGCTCTCGTCTTGTGTGTAGGGAGGTGTTGTTCTCTGCCGACGGGGTTGATCACTGCCGGCTTCCGAGGCGTGGTATGGCAGTTTCAGTCCCCCTAATCTGTACCACCGCACAGGACTTTGAACTCTGCAAGCGAATCAGTTGCCTGCCATCCAAATTCAAGCATCTCTGAAACGTATCCTGACTCTTCAAAGCTGCCTCACAGTGTATCCTTCTCCCGAGCCTCCTTCTCGGCAACCTTCTTCGCCCTCTCCGTCCTCTCTTCCCTCAACGTGGTAAACACCCAGAACCACGCCGAAACCTCCATGAAGCCCCAAGTGAAAATGAAGCTGTTGTTCAGACTAGCGCCAGCGTGCATTCTGAAGTCCATACCCCTTGGTGCGAACATGCCACCTTCTTTGAAGACATAGCAGTATGAGGTGAGGCCGAAGAGGAAGAGGAGACGCATGGGTGCTTGGAGACCCCAGAAGTGGTCGAAAACGTCTTCGTGTAGGGAGAGGGCCGTCAGGTCGGAGAAGCCGATGAAAGCGAAGAGGATGGCTACGAAAGCTGTTGCGGCCGAGGGCTTGTTGAAGTCGCGGGGTGTTGGCTGGGGTGTGTTAGTGACTTCAGACACAACTTGAGTAAGCAGCAGAAGTATTGCAGTACGTACAAGCTGCATTGACTCTCCTAGCAGGAGAATGACGCTTTGGTTCGATATCAGGGCGGGATTCCGCAGCAGGACGACTGCAAGTGTGAGGTGAAACAGTGCGATACTGCGTATCATGGTGTTTGCTGATATTATCGCCATACTTGTGGACTGTGGGCTGCGAGGGAGAAAATGGCAGATGTAAGGTTGAGGTGTTCGTGGCTGTAATGTTTCTGAGGTTCGCGTCGCGTGGTGTTTCGGACCAAACTCCTAAAATCCGTCCGCGCCCTCCTGCCAAGACCGATCTACCTGGATGATAACAGCTCAACCTGGCACCATGTTTCTTTTCACCTGCATCTCCTATCTTGAAATTGAAAATGGAGAAGGCGGGCGACCTCCCTACCAGCGAAAAGCTTGCGCCAATCCAGCGCCGGTCCTTGAGACGGCGCCTGTGCAAGTTTGATGACGTTATCTTCCTCGTAGTCCTCTTCCTTATCGCGTCGACCATATGGCTTACAGAGATCCGAACGTTGTTTCCAGGCCACAAGCACACATGTGGAAAGCCATTGACAGTTGAAGAGAGAGCGGTCAAGATACTGCAAGAGAACCCACTCATTGGTCAGCCGTACGGACGTGAAATGCAGGTCCACATGCTGACTACCCAAGAGATGGCCATAACGATCTCATGATCTTCATCCGGAGCAAATACAACAACCGTATTTACAATGAATCCGGCAGCGATTTCGCAGACAAGTTCGAGAATGGCGGACTAGCGCAGCATGTCGATACTCCTCGCCTCGAAAAGGGACATCAAGGTGGTGCCTTCTGGAGTGCCTTCTGGCTCTGTCCATTAGGCGATGAGACGAACTTTGCTGACGAAAGATATCACAATAGTAAGGCAATCTAACTCGACGGAGCATTGGATCAATACTAATGTATGCAGTCGTGAAAGCAACTCTCGGCCAGCTCGATCTGTTCCACCGCCTAGGGCAACAGTACCCAAAATACTTCACTCCATCCCGGAACAGCGCGGAAGCCATCAAGACATTCAAAAACGGTGGTTTCATTGCTCCAGCAGCTATCGAAGGGTTGCACCAAATCGGCAACTCGGTCTCTACTCTGCGACTTTACTACCAGCTTGGAGTCAGATACGCGACTCTGACATGGAACTGCCACAACAAGTATGCCGATGCAGCAATCGAGACGGGATCCGATTGGAGCGCGCGTATTGCGAAGCCCTATTGGAAAGGTCTCAGTCCCGCAGGTCGCGACCTCGTCAAGGAGATGAACCGCCTAGGGATGTTAGTAGACCTAGCGCACGTGAGTCAAGACACCATGCGCGACGTACTCGTCGGCCGAGGTGACGGAAAATGGAACGGCAGTATCGCACCGCCCATCTTCAGTCACAGCTCCGCATACGCGATCTGTCCGCATCCGCGAAACGTGCCCGACGACGTACTTCAGCTCGTCAAGCAGCGCAATTCTGTCGTCATGGTCAACTTTAATCCAGACTTTGTATCCTGCAAGGCTTCGAAGACGCCAAACTCCTTCCCAGATTTCGTACCAGAGAACAACACCCTAGCACACGTCGTACGTCATATCAGACACATTGGAGAGTTGATTGGGTATGATCACGTTGGTATTGGCACGGATTATGATGGTATTGAGACCACTCCTGAGGGGTTGGAGGACGTATCTAAGTTCCCTGACCTTATCGCCGAATTACTGAGGCAGGGCATAAGCGATGAGGATGCTGCAAAGATCGCAGGACGGAACCTTCTTCGTGTCTGGGAGGAGGCTGACAAGGTGTCGAAAGAACTGCAAAAGACGATGCTGCCCCTGGAGGATGAGCTACATGAACAGTGGGCTTAATATGTACACGTCTGCCTTCACCACTGCAAAGGAGGTTGGACCTGGAGCTCCTGACCGCCGACCTTGAAACTGAACTGTTCTGAGTACAAAAGATAGTATATACGTCGGGGGTTATGCATCCGATTTTGGGTACAGTGAGATGTGACACGAAAACGGCCCTTGAAAGCATTGTTAGTATGATGCTGCCAACACGTGTTTGCGCGATGAGGCGGGTGGTGAGTGGCTGAGCTCCACCCCAGATCACACCACTTCTCAGCAGCCCAGGCCTTGGCAACGTAACACGACATGCGACTTCCAAGGCACATGAATGAGTAGAGTATATATATCCTCAAGCGATGGAATCTCCACAGCCTCTCACTATTAGCCCTACAACTCACTCAGATTCCGCGCCTCTTACCACCTAACTTCTTCTACCACACAAACACCTCGACAGTGCAACTACCTACTCACACAACCACAAGAACCAACAACCCATAACAACGCAATGACATCCCCCAAACTAAAAACCACAATCGCCATCCTCGGCTGCGGCGACGTCGGCTCCACCCTAGCCTACACCCTCATCCTACAACCCATCTGCTCAGAGGTAATCCTCGTAGACCCCAAAACCACGCTCCTGGAAGCCCAAGTCCGCGATCTAAACGACGCCACCTACCGCGGCGGCACCTCTGTCCGCGTGCGCGCCGGAACGCACGCCGACGCCGGCCGAGCAGACATCGTCGTCATAACCGCCGGCGCAAAGCAGAAGCCAGGAGAATCACGCTTATCCCTCTTATCCCGTAACCTGCACATTCTAGAGAGCATATTCAGTGCCATGGCGCCGATCAGTCCGCACACGATCTTACTGCTTGTGGCGAATCCAGTGGATATCCTGACGTATTTTGCGAGGCGGCTGTCGGGTTTGCCCGAGAGTCAGGTGTTGGGAACGGGGACGAGTTTGGATTCTGCGAGGTTGAGGGGCGTGCTGAGTGAGAGGGCGGGGGTGGCGCCGAGTAGTATTGATGCTTATGTGTTGGGGGAGCATGGGGATAGTCAGTTTGTGAGTACAGTTTCCCTGGTTGCTTTGCGGCGAGAGGAGAGGGTGACGAGACAGGAGAGATAGGCATGCTGATACAAGATACAGATTGCGTGGTCCAGCGCTACCATCGGCACAACACCACTTGCTCTTGCTCTTCCGCCAGACACGATGTCTCAGGAGTTCAAGGACCAAATATCGGCTCATACTCGTGGAGCAGCTGGCGCGATCATCGCGGCGAAGGGTTGCACAAGCTACGGTATCGGAAATATCGCGGCTGGTATCTGCAAGTATATATTATTCGACTCACGATCCGTTCGGCCCTTGTCCTTCTACCAGCCTGAGCTGGGCTGCTGCTTGTCTATGCCGGCAGTAGTTGGTCGAAAGGGTATCATCAAAGCCATGCCAGTTCAGCTTGACGAGGTGGAGAAGGCGCAGTTGGAGGCCTGTGCAAAAGGACTGAGGGGTGTGATTGAGGGAGCTGAGAAGGAGTTGAGCGCTGATCGTGAGCTGGAGAAGGCACTAGCGAGCGACAAGGGAGTCTGAGGCTACACGCTTCCATGGAAAAGGTACTGCTTGATACACACCGGATGTGTATTTCTTCTTGAGTAGTTACTCAAAAAGTATTTTCACAGATACAATACACTATTGCCCGATTTCTCGTAGTCCACATACAAGCATGTTAGCCTTCATCCCTCTCTACTCCACCGCCAACTTGATCTTCACAATCAATCCGTAGATGCTTCCAACCTCATAAGACGCACGAATCGCCTCCTTCCTGCTGTCCATGTCGATATATGCCGTTCTAGTCCTCTTGACCGGCTCGCGTTCGGGAAGGATGGTGATGTTGCGACTAGCGAACTCTAGTTAGCGCATCCATTCACTGACGTGTATAGTGTATGACTTACATGTCCCATCTGTACTCGATAAAGAGTATGCGAATGGCTTCCTCGTCTACGCTAGCAGCGAGATTGGTGACGATCAAACGGTATGGTAGAATTTTCTTCTCCTCGGTCGCGTGATACTTCTCTTCCTCTTCCAGGACGTACTTGATGGTGGCGTCGAGTTTCTCGTTCTCCCTCCTCACCAT